TAATGTTTTTCAGTGTACAAAATAAAAAACATAGGATTACAAAGGAAACCAATTATGTTGATAACATTTCTGTCATAATAAAAAATGTTTGTGATCTGGGAATACACGTGCTCCTTTTTCATGCATCTGTAGGCGGGACCAATAACTACTGTACTTCCAAAGGGTGAGGGATGCATGTGATTGATATTTCGAGATATCTGCGGTAATTCTACCATGACATGAAAATACCTGTGATTTCCATTGGTAACAAAACACAGGCACTGCTAACATTACTGTATGTTCGTAACTGAAGGGAAGGCTAAATTAAAGCTGAGGGTTAGTGAAAATAAAGAGGTCCGCTTTCCCCACCCAAGTTCATGTGCCTACTCTTCAGGCATCTGCAGACCCCGGGTTAAGAAGCTCTGGCTTAGACCAGCCAGGAAGTGCTGAGGAAGTGGCAGCTCCAGAAACGAAGCCCAGGAGAGTTGCCCTTCCAGCATTCGTTCTGTGCACCAGCTCTGTTAATGGGGTGGTTTTAGAACCCCAGGGAGGGGGGAAGGAGGCGAGCTCACTCCTGACGAATGGCCGTGGACACCTCCGTCCTCCTTCCTGCATCCCTTCAGCAAGGCTCCGGGTGCAGAACCAGCTCACGTCAGCATTTCTCTTTTGATTTGCATGTACAGGTGTGGACACACTGGGAGACCAGACAAATAGTGTAATTTGTAAGTACCAGGCTTGGGAAGAAGGGAGAAAGGAAATAGAAATTCTCCTGAAGGGAAACGGTAGTGAACTTGGGGAGGACTGACATCGGTGTCAATCCTACATTATTCAGAGCATCTCACCTGATTTGGAAATAGCATCAAGATGTTCAAAGAAACTTACTCATCTTAAGAGTTTATTTAGATAGATAGAACATAGTGTCTCCCCAAACAGTTGCTGAAGAAATTTGGGTTTCTGAGGAAGGGATGGGGAGCTGTTGTGCAGCCAGGTTCTGTAGGAATGCAGTAGCCCCCCTTATTCCTGGTCTCCCTTGCAACAGTTTTACTTACCTCCGGTCAAATACGGTCCAGAAGCAGATAGCCTAATGCCATGTCACAGTGCCTGCATCACTCATGTCATTTCATTTTGTCACATAGGCATTTTATCATCGCACATCATTACAAAAAGAAGAGTCAGTACAGTATAGTAAGCTATTTTGAGAGAGACCACATTCACGTAACTTTTATTACAGTACAATTTTTAATTACAGTAATAATTGTTCTATTTTATTATTAGTTATTAATCTCTTACTGTGCCTAATTTATAAATTAATCTTTATCATAGGTATGTATGTGTAGGGGAAAACATGGTATATAGAGGGTTTGGTATTATCTGCGGTTTCAGGCATCCATCGGGGGTCTTGGAATGTAGCCCCCACGGATAAGGAGGGACTGCTGTACTTCCAAAATATAAGCATTTCTGGAAATCTTAAATTCTGTATTTGTAATTTTATTGAATGCTGATGTAATTTGGCTTATCTTTGCGGTCCAACACATGATAGATTCTCCTTAGGAGATGTTAGTGTGTATGCGTGTATGTGTGTGATGTATAAAATATTAAATCTAGTATATCGATTATATTCAACTGTTTTTATTTGTCTTGAATTTGTCCAATTCTGAAAGAGGTATGCTGAAGTCTCCCACCCTAATTGTTATTTCAAGTTGGCCCTTCATCTGTAATTTGTGCTGTGCTGTTGGATGCATACGCTGTTAGGATTGCTATTCTTTTTCACCTTGTGCTTTTTATCATTACATAATATCCATTCTGACCTCATCAACCTTAACTCTTGCCTTGTCTCCCATGACTCTCCTCACTCCCACTCTCCTTCTGCTTGTGTGTGTTTGGGACGGGCCTCCAGCCCACGCCTCTTTATTCATTGCATCCTGTTAAGTGTTTCTCTGCTAAACATCCAGCTTGTTCTTTCTTTCTCATCCTTCTTTTAACTTTTCTTTTTTTACCCACTCTGACACTCTGACTTCCAATGGAAAAATGCAGTTCAGTGGAAAAATGCAGTTCATCTCATTTGGTATAATGACTGATAGACTTGATTTTCTTCCTTCCATATTACTTTTTCTTTATTAGTGATTTTACTCTGCATTTTCCGCTTATTTTCTCTTAAGTTTGGCAGCTATGTTATTCTCTGCTTTTCCTAAATTATTTCAGTCCCTCCTCCTTATTTCTCTGTGATTTGAAAATAAAATTCCAGTTATTTTTCTCACCAACACTCTAGCTCCCCCACCCTCCCCGAGATGAGGCTTTGGAGCTTTGGTTTCTCCCTTCTCCCGCTAGCCTGAGTGTGTGGGGGTGCTCACCCCGCTGTCCCCACAAACGCCCAACCTCTCGGTGTTGCTGGGATAGTGGATAGTGCTCTCACACTAGCAAACAATGAGATTTCCCCCTTCATCATCTCCTTTTTACTTGGAAAATCTTTAGCACTTACTTCACATCCCCACTCTGTGTATGTAAACACACACACAGCTAGATATAGATATATAACTGTATGTCTTTAGTTATATATATATATATATATAAATCAATATAATAGAAAGAGATATATGTAGAGAGAGGGTAAATGTAGAGTTTCTATTCATTTAAAAATTTATTTATGGCACAACGCTGGTTGCCTGTTGTCTTCCCCCTTTGCCTGGCTGAAGTCTCCTTTCTGATGCATTTTCTATGTAATGTTCTTCTGTGGGATATTTGGGTGAAATTCTCTCTGAACCCTTGCATTTCCTTGATAACATTTTTTTCAGCCTGGGGCATAGCAATCCTGGTGTACAGGATTCTTGGGGTTAAGTCCTTTTTTTCAGTTGCCTGAAGGGGTTACCCCACTATCCTTTGGTTTCTGGGGTTGCAGATGAGAAGACTGGAAGCCATTTTTATTCTTCTGGGGTGTGTAACTTGTTCTGGGAGGTTCCAGAATCTTTTTATTACCCTTTGGAGATCTGGCTCTTTTCAGAATGGCCAGATGCATGAGTATTTCCACATTGATGTCTCCTGGAATTCAGGACACCCCTCTTGTCCAAAAACATGGGCCTTTCTTCCATTATTTGTTTAATTATTTCCTCTTCTGCATCTGTTCCTTTTTCTCTATCTGGGAGTCTGGGGAGTCACACCTCATAGGGCCTGTGTTTGTTCTTCAAATCTCTCTTTTCTCTTCTGTTTTCCCAATCTTTCGTTCCATTCATGAGTTCCTCTATGCTGTCTGTCTCTGCTCTGCACTTTGAAATTGGTTTTCTAATGGATCTTTCCGAAAACTATTGGTTTGCTGTATTGACCACCAATCCTTCAGTTCATTTACTGAACTTTAAAATGTTTTTAGTTCAATAAGCATATCTTTAGACCGAATTTTGCACGTGTGTGCCATCTTCATAAGGGGTCTTTTATGTTCTGTTCAAATGAATGCCTTCAATGCAAGTGCTGTCAATTTCCTTTGCTGCTCCCAGGCCACGTTATTTCACATACTGCGCTCATTGCCCTCAGCTGTGGCGGGGCGGTGGCCCGGGGGGGGGCGGGTGTCTGTGTGTGTGGTCCTGTTGGTGATGGAGCAGTGACGTGGGGCAGGCGGGCCACCGCTTCCCCAGGCTCCTGTTGCCCTCTCACCCTGGCCCACCTGTTCTACTCCTCTGGGCTTATTCTCAGGGTAGGGAGTCCTTCCTGTGCAGGAGGAGAAATAAGGGATGGGAATCTACGGTTCTCGTGGGATAAGCCCTTCCGGGGATCCAGAGCTGCCCTGCATGTGCTCTAGGGCTCTTCAGCCTCTTTTCGGAGCCCCTGCTCCACTGCCCAGTCGTCCCTGTCTCAGACCCCACCTGCCCCAGCCGGTTGTGAGCCCCACCAGCCTCTGGGCTCAGAAGAGGCGGGCGGATTGGATTCGGGACGGAGAAAGCATGAAAGGCATTTAGGGTAGCCTTTCTAGAATTCATCTCCAAACTCTGATGACTTTATAAAAGTGAATCACAATCATTGTAAGAGGGGGAGAAAACAGCACAGAATGGTACAAAGTAGAAAGTGAAAGGATCTCCTAGTTTCTTTCCATTCTTCCAGGGTAGCCACTGTTAATAGCTTGCCAGGTCCTTCACATAGTCTCTATTTCCTTACATACTTATTTCTTAAAAAGTACAAATGGGGTCACACTATATGTACCGTTGGGCGGTTTGTTAGCTTTTTTTCCCCTCAGTGTGTTAAGGACTTTTTTTTTTTCCCCATATAGACTTGCCACATTTTTTAAATGACTGTATGGCTTTCAACTGTGAAAATGACAAAACATGCTTAACAAATGGTTGTTATACACAGTTTTCTCTATTATGAACAGTGATGCCCCTGTCTTCAGCTTTCAATGGTGGATTTTACTCTACTGGTATTTGTAATTCTCTGTTGTTTCATCAACCTTTTGGCCTTTTTTCTTCAGGTTTCATATCTTTGTGGGAATGATCTTCCTTCCTTGAAGATGATGCCAATACAAAGAACTTAAACTTTTATGGTTTCAGCCTTCACATGTAAATCTTTGATCTGAAATTTATTTTGATGTAAGAAGTGGTTGGGGTGCCTGGTTAGCTGTTGGTAGAGCGTGCGACTCTTGATCTTGGGGTCGTGAGTTTGAGCCCTACATTGGGTGTAGAGCTCACTAAAAAAGAAAAAAAAAGGAAGTGGAGAAGGGCTTCAGCTTAACTTGTTGAATGTTTTTTCAATATGGCTACTTATTTAATCCAACATCTCAGTTAGAGTCCATCTTTTACTGCTGATCTGACATGACACCTTCATCATAGATTAAATTGCCACATGGCTGAATCTTTTGTTGAATGATTTAAGGTTTGTCCGAGGGAGAGTCTCGCACCTGGGCATATTGGGAGCCTGACTCCTGAGTGAAGGATACTGACACCCAGGAGAATTTCCAAGAGAGTGAAACTGGAGCTTTCCCTCCTGCCTCTGCTTGGCTTCCCCTTCCATGCTCACCTGCCTTTCTGTTACTGGTGTTACAGATATCTGAGAAGTATGGGCTGCCTGTGGAGAAGATCACAAAGCTTTACAAGAAAAGCAAAAAAGGGTAAGAAAGAAACTTTAACTGACTTCGAAATCAGATCAGTCTACATGGTGCCTTTAACAAAAAAGATGGTGCCTACCTTTTGTTAGTTCTGTTGTCCACCTTTTATAGAAATTGTGTGTCATCCTTACAAAGGATTGCTGAGCCGCTTGCAAATTGAAGGCATTTTGAAGATCTTAGTAAGAGAGGGAGGGAAGGAGACAGTGCATTGTCATGATGCTGGCTGAGACGTCCCATTCCGAGGACAGGATGAGCCGGTGGAGTATAAGGGTCCAGAAGTGGTGAGGACACTGGGGAGAGAGGGGCAAAGTCACCCCTCTGCAGAGAGCTGGGTTTATAAAGAATCACATGCTGCTCTTGGGATTGGTTTCAGGATGACACGGTAAGAACAGGAAGCGTTCAGGGTAAAGAGAATTTTTCTGAGGGAATTATTAACCAAATGATCTAAATGATCATTGGACCTGCTTGTTCTCAGTGTTAAGAACAATACCTCGGGCGCCTGGGTGGCTCAGTTGGTTAAGCGACTGCCTTCGGCTCAGGTCATGATCCTGGAGTCCCGGGATCGAGTCCCGCATCGGGCTCCCTGCTCAGCGGGAGGTCTGCTTCTCCCTCTGACCCTCTTCCTTCTTGTGCTGTCTCTCATTCTCTCTCTCAAATAAATAAAATCTTTAAAAAAAAAAAAAAGAACAATACCTCATTTATTGGGGGTGCAGTAGGTTCTGGGCCCCCTGCAAGTGCTTCGTGGGCGCTGTGCTGTTCCCCCTCACACTGCCGGTTCTAAGAGTAGAGGCTGTAGGAGCCGGATTTCGTTCCAGGAGAGTTTCCACTGAGTCAGCTTCTGGAGCTACTTTCCTAGAAAATGCAGAAAATGGGTCTTTAAACTCTTCTCTGAGCCTCTTGTCATAAAGGAAATTGATCTATCTGAGATGCCCAGGCTTTCTGAGTGGTAGATTGGGAGTCAAATGGGAAACCTTTCCCTCTGGGGCCCTTGTTGGCAGGCTCACTTAAATGCATATTACAATTTTCTCCACGGCCCATGCAATAGGCTGAGTGAATACCTTTGATGGTGAGATTTGGGTGGTGTCTCAAGGTCTGACTGCTGAGCTGAAATCCTCAGTGCAGACATGCATGCTGATGGTGATAACGTTTCAGTTCCATCGAGCACCGTGTTGGGCCCTATACTAAATATATTACTCCTTACAACAACTCTAGGGCAGGGTTGTTTTTCTTATTTTTGCAGAAGAATAAACTGAGGCTCTAAAAGGCTAAGAAACTTGCCAGACAACACATAGCTGTCAAATGGTCAGTTCTTCAATGGCAAGCTGAGATCTGTCTGATTTCCAAATCAGGAACAGAGCCTGGAAGTTGTTGATTCTCTTAAAACTAAATCCACTTGGATAGTTGACCAAGGAGCAGGTCACATATGGTGAAGTGCGAGCTTCAGAGTGAGGCAAAGCAGTTTCCAATCTAGCTCAGCCATGAATCAGCTGGATGAACCTGGGGACCTGATTTTACTTCCCTGCACTCAGTTTTCTCATTTGCAAAGTGGCGATGGTCACACCTACCTTCAAGGCTGCTGGAAAGATTAAAGACAAGGTCTCAGAAGCACCAAAACAAATTACATGCTTGGCAAAGGGTAGCCACACTTCTTGATTTTCCTTTTTCTCCATCTATGGAGTACTTTTTAAAGTGCATTTTCAGGAGGCACTATGGTTTAATGAAAACAGTTAGGGACCTGCTTAGACCCTGGCTCTATCAAGAGCTACCTCTGTGATTTCAGGCTCACCTCTCTGGGCCCCAGTTTACCAATCTATAAAGCAAGGGAGAATGATCTCTAAAGACCCGTTTAATAAGGAGTCACGAGGTTAGTTCTGACAAATCGAGACTTTGTTTTCCTCAAACTAGTTTCTGGGGAAAGAAAATAATGATGAGGGTCTTCTTTTCCTGCCTTACCTCCTCTCTCCTCCATCCTTCCCAGCCTCCCTTGCCAAAGAATGGCTAAGGGAACCCGCACCCAGCCTGGAGTCTGCCCTTGCGCCCCGCTCCTTGTTGATGGCATCTTTGTTTCTTACCCCCCACCCCACTCCCTGGCAGCATCTTGGTGAACATGGACGACAACATCATTGAGCACTACTCGAATGAGGACACCTTCATTCTCAACATGGAGAGCATGGTGGAAGGCTTCAAGATCACACTCATGGAAATCTGAGCCCTGCTCTCGGCCTCCCCTCGGCAGGGGCCCTGGGTGCCTTCCTTCCCAGTAGAGACGGAGACCCCGGCCTGGAACCCAGGCACCCACCTCCCCCACCTCACAACCACTGTTACAGACTGTGCTGGGAGCCCGGTGAGACACGGAGCCCATTCCTTACCAGTGTGTTTGGCCCATCCACTGACTCCTACTGGAGCCGAAGCCTGAGCCCCTCAGGAAGGTGTGCTGGGCTGGTCAGACACTTATTTATTGTCCAGTCCACCTGGTTCTGGAGCCCGGGGTCCAGGCCCGCTAGGACGCTGCGGGACACTGCTGGCCCCAGATGAGACCGTCCAGAGCCCTCCCCTTCCAAGGGAAACACAGCCAGTCCGCTCGCTCCGAAGAGCCTGAGCACGTCTGGGTCCTTCTGCTTCACCTCCGCCTCTCCTGAGTGGCTGGACCAAACGGGCTCTGCCGCTGCGGTAGTCTGCGGGGGCCAGAGGTGGACGCCGCTTCCTGGTCCGAAAGCTGCAGGTCGCCCCGGGGAAGGCCATCTTGCTAAGCACCTCCCGGGGTTTCCAGCGAGTGGCCCCCGGGCCTTGTACAGGAAGACGTTCCGCTCCGCTGTAATTAGTAACCCAGAAGGTATGCCTGGCTGTCCTGTACATAGTGTTTATAATATGGCAATAATATATTTTACCTGTAGTACGTGGGCATGTTTACTGCCGCTGGCCTTGGGGAGACACAGAGCCGGGACTCCGCCTCTGTGCTGTGCAGGAGGCGCCCTGGGTTAGGGAAGTGGCCTCCGGGGCGCCGGGAAGGACGCTCGGCGGGGGGGGGGGGGGGGGGGCGCCCGCCCTGTGGGCCGGGGCGCTTGTCTCGCGCTGATGCCCGGCCTGGCCGTGCGAGCCGCCTGGGCCGTGGCAGAGGTCAGAGTGCCGCGGGGAGCTTGGCGGAGAGCCTGCGGGGCGCTGTGCTGGGGCCCGCTGCAGAACTCCTTGGTGATCGTGAGGGCCTGGCCCCTGTGGAGTGCCTCACGGTTCACAAGTGCATCCTTCATCTCAAGTGGCTCCCCTAGAAGCCGACCGCAGCCCTGCGAGCCGTGCCGGCAGCTTAGCTCCGGATCCACAGGCCGGCGCTGCTTCCCGCGGCCGCCTCTGCTCCGGGCTGCCGGGTTGGGGTGCCGAGGGCTGGGGGAGCGCCCCCAGAGCGCTCTGGCTCTTCTGCAGGCAGCCTCCCGAGGAGGACTGGGAGGGAGAAGGTCCCGTCCTCCCGCACATGCCTTGGGAGACCAAGAGGAGAAAAAACGCTTCCCTAAACCATCACGGAATGATGAGGCGACCTGGGCTGCTGTCCTCTTTGAAGGGACAGGTAGGTGGTCTTGGGCTTTGCATTCACCCTCGTGGGCTGAAGCACCAGCCTTTTGGTAGCCAGATGTGTCCTCCACCCAAGGTCCTGCACTGGGACAGGTTCTATGTATGGGCCTCGATTTGTTTGCGAAGCACTTTGATGTCTTACCTGGGGGGCTCTCTCTCCAAGGCCTCCCTGCCTCCCACCCTGTCTGGCCCTGAGGCCCAGAGCAGGACGGAAGGGCTGTTTTCAGCCCAGCTGTCTCTCCTTGAGGCTGCAGAGGATTTGAATGGGACAGAGAGCAGGGGCCGCACCTAGGGAGATGCGGGGTAGTGGTGAGGGGGCATCTTTCTGTGTGTCTTCTGGACACCTTACCCCTTCCCGTGGTGCCAAAGGTTTGCATCCTGGATTCAGTTCTGCTCCAGCCTGTTCCCTCCTCCCGCACTCTGACTGCCATGCCCTGGACCAGCAGCTTGGGGACCCTCCTGGGTACTGACACGGCTGTGTTCTATGATGGACACATTCAGTGTTGGAAATAGGTGATGTACTATGCACTACCCGTGCTCCTTGCCTCAGGGGTGGGCTCAAACATGATTGGCAGACGAAATGGCAGATACTATTGGGCTGGGGCATAGACTCCAGAGCTGGGAAAAGGTAAAATTTTGGGCAGTCTGACACAGGTTACGCTACCCTTCTTTCTCTAGGCTCTGTGGGAAAATGTTTGCCTGTCCTGCCCTAGGCCGAGAGTGACTCAGAGATGCTTTGCATTTGTTTCCGGTCCTTGAGCAACCACTGGGGTGACCCTTACCCACCAGAACCAAAACTGAGGCCAGTGCCACTGAAGGGTGGTGCAGAGCATCACCTGCCATCTGATCTGCCCCCCCACCTGTCCCCTCAGCATTCTCAGAGTGCCCGTGGCTTAGCGTGGATGTGTCCTCCACCGTGAACATCAGCAGAGCTTCAGTGAGCACAATTTTCTGAGCAGAAACACTCTAGAAAGATAGGAAAAACTGCCTCCTCTTTTGTCCCTCAAATTAATCACACTCAAATAAATATGCTTTTAAAAAAAATTCATGTAAGATGAGGGAGATGTAAAACAAGTATTTTTCATATATATACACCCAAGTTGCTTAGACTTAACAGGTGTTTGGAAATTGGGACCAACAGAAAAATGCAGTCAGATGTCATCTTGGACTTGGATCCTAAAAGACTAAGCCCAGAAACTTAGGAAGCGTGAAATGAATCAAACATTTATTTTCCTTCTTATTTAAAATTAGGAAAGTGCAACAGAAACAGAGGGTTTGTGCCAAATTCTGTGAACGGCCCTTTCTTAAAAACAAGCAAGGGAGATTGATAGATGGACAATTTGCTCTTGTGTTTTTTTTAAAAAAAGGCAAATGTAACTTAATAGTTTTGTAAATGGGAGAGGGGGAATCTATAAACTATAAATACAGTTATTTTATTTTTTGTACATTTTTAAGAAGAAAAAAATAAATATTCATAACGTCAGAGTAAATGACAGTGTCTGGTGCTTTCTGTGAGGTGGGTATTGGGGCTTTTCGCCTTGCCAGAAGGAAGCTTCAGTGTGGCCTTGGGAAGATTCTAGGCTCCCCCTGGGCACCTTCGGGTCCTAGGCTTCAACACAGCAGGCGTGTCCTCTTCCTGTGGACTGGTTGTGTTCTGCCCAAGGTTACACGAGAAGAGACCTAAAGAAATCAAGAGGCCTTCGGTGTGACGGTGATGGGCCACCAGGGTGGTTATTCTTGGCCAACTCAGGGCAGGCAGTAGGTTCTGTCCACATGCTTTTACCTTCCTCACTCCCAATTCACTCACCCCCACTTGAGTTATCACAAGAACATTCTGGCTCTTTAGTTCATCTGTACCAGCCTCTACAGACACTGAAACCACATGGCTAAAACTCCAATCATATCATGACAGGCTTTTGCCCCACTGCCTCCCCACTGAGCCACCCTGCTCTTCAGCCACCATCCACCAGAGAGCCTCTCCGCTCCAACAAGCAGCATCTCACACTGTCTGTCCATGTCCACAGCTTTCGAATCTTGGCTAAAATTTGCCTCGAGAAAGTCTTCTCTGACAACTTCAACCCCGACGGTACCCCCAGTGGCACCCCCAGCAGCTTCTATGCCTGGACCAGGGCAGGGAAGAGGAGGCTGGGGGAGGAGCTGATAGAGGAGGATTCCGGAGGGATCATGGGATTAGCAATGGGCCACAAGGCCTTTTTGCCATGATCCATGCTCCACAGCCTTCATGGGCAGTCGAGTGGACCTACAGGCCTGAGTAGGTCCTGCAGAGGATGCAGCCGGTCTCCACATCTGCCCTGAGGTAGTCCCTCCCTTGGCCCATGGCAGCCAAGGCACTTCTGTTCAGTGAACTCTGCTGGCCATGTGTGCCACCCTACCCCCCACCTCCCGGTGCGGGACTCAGGTCAGGTAGATGAGGATGACCAGTTGTCAGAGCCACAGGGTCCAGCCCTGGCTCTTGCCTTCCATTCTCTGTGCTAATTCAGTTCACTTACTGTGGTCCAGGCATTGTGCCCCAGGCTGGGGACAAAGAGACAGTGATGTAAGTGCAAAGTGAAGGTGGCCTGGCATCATTAGCACAATAATAAGGGCTCACCCTGGGAGAGCCAGGGCTCTGTCATCACCCCAGTTCTAAGGCACACAACCCCTCCTACCCTTAACCCTTCTAGTACGACATGAGAAATCACCAATGGGAATCTCACTTTGGGAAGGCCACCTACTCGAGTGTCTGAGCCCATATATCTGAGGGTCAATGGGAATGGGGGAGGGGATGGTCACTGTGTCAGTTCAGGTTCTCTAGGAAGCAGAAGCCAAGATAGGATTAGACATTCAAGAGATTTATTGGGGGAATTCATGTGAATGATAAAGGGGAAATGAGCAGGGGGAGACAGGGAGAGCATGTGGACTAACCCCTCCGAAAGGAAGGAAGGAAGGAAGCTTGGGCAGGAGGAGCCTCACACTGCCTCAGCCAGGCCCCGCAGAGAATCCTGGAGCGAAGGTCACCTGCAGAAGAATCCCATGTGGGGCAAGAATGGCTCAATTCTAATACCCCCACCACGTGCAGTCACTGACTGGGAGCAGCCCGAGAGAGCGTGGTCTCGGAGTAAATGCTGAGGTGGCCCCAAAGATTGCAGCTGGAGCTTTTCAATCAGCTAGCTGTGCTTCCAGCAGTAGGGTCTCAAAAGGGAAGATCTGAAGAGCCCCTTTTAGTGACCACAGCCAACCCCTTCTAAAAGGTCTCCAATAGAAATTCACTGGGGCTCCACTCTTAAAAGTGAACATTCCCTGAATGGGTTTTCTGGTCTACTACCTTAGGCTGTTACACCTTTTGTCCTCAGGGTCCTTCATCCCTATACTTTTCTGAGCTCTGCTAAAGGGGTGCATGGGTTAATTTTGGAGACTGGAATTCTAGGAAACACAGTGGGTGAGGGGGGCTCTGATCAGCCAGAAGCAGCAAAAGAGAAGGGGATATTGAAAGGGCACTAAAGGCAAACGTTACCAGCTTGTTTCCTGTGTAGCAAATACCTCTCATGCACCACTCAGGAAAGAACTTGATTTCTGCTCTGCTGTAGACAGAGATGTAGATTACTTGGTGATTGTATTCAGGATGCTAGACAAAACTTAACCAGCTGAACTGTGAGCTTGGTCTCCTACTTCTTTGCTAATAACTCCTACCCACCCCCCAACATACACACACCTCCAAGACTATAGCACTTGGTATTGTGCTGGGTCACCATTGAACACTCTGCGAGCACAGTAAAGTGGTTAAATACTGGTATTGGAAAGATACATTTTCTGAGTCTGTCCATCTGTCTGTCTACATGTGTATGATGTACTGGTAGCAGCTGTGAGTATCTAATAAGGGTCGGCAGGCTGAGCTGCCCAGAATTTTGAAGTATTTTGACCATCCCTTCTGGAGAACTCTTAAAATGCCATCTATTTCCTGGAATAGTGCTGAGAAAATAAGCCATGAAATAAGCCTCTCTAAGGCCCTTACCCCCTCTGAGGTGCCCTAGGGGCTTAGCTCCACGCTGTGGAATGTTCTCCGAATGACCATTGTTTGTAAGCCCAGGGATGTCTGGGACCATGCATGGCACATTCGCATCCAGTACAGCAAATACCCAGGACCTATCTAAGTCATGGTCAGCGTTCAAGCATAGAGAACCCTGTTTGAAATGAATATACCATCGGTTATACCCTTGGCCTGAACATCTTTTCACTATGCAACAACCTTTCTATTTAGGTGGATTTAGCTGATATTCTACTGCCTCGGAAAATACAAGTCTCATTGTTCTTGTTTCTTCAGCCACCTCAAAAAACAAAATTTTTCTTTTTTTTTTTTTAAAGATTTTATTTATTTGACAGAGAGAGACAGCGAGAGCAGGAACACAAGCAGGGGGAGCGGGAGAGGGAGAAGCAGGCTTCCCGCCGAGCAGGGAGCCCGATGCGGGGCTCGATCCCAGGACCCTGGGATCATGACCTGAGCTGAAGGCAGACGCTTAACGACTGAGCCACCCAGGTACCCCAAAAAACAAAATTTCAACAGAGTGCTGGGCATACCCAAGCCAAGAGAGGCATGTGTGAAGTATCTCCATTTCTTCCAAAGACAGTTCTCATGATCTCTCTACCTCGACTTAGGGGAACACTCAGATTCCTCTGATTCCACCAGTGTGCCCCCTCCATGCCTGCACTAGGCTGTGAGGGGATCCAGGTGGGTTGGGTATTAAGACAATGCCCTGAAAATGTGGGAAATTTGCTAGAAATTGCCAGGTTGGCCTCCCAACAGGTGCGGGAGTGCAGGCTCCTGATCAGGTAAGCGGCTGCCAGCCACCTCACCAGCGGTGCCATGAACGACAGCGTGGTGGTCACGTTCAGTGCTTGTGAGTAGCCATTGGTGGTCCATAGGGACAAACTGTGACGTAAAGACAGAACCCCCGCAGGCCGACTCACTTCCTACAGGAGGTCTGGTTGGCCCACAAGTCACCAACTATAGCTGACCCTCAGTCCCTTTTTCCTAGATTAATGGAATTCTGTGCTGGAGGTAGGGCCAATGACAACAACAAAAAACAACAACAAAAAAACAAGCCTCATCTGAATTTGCTTTGAGGGTGTGGAGTCTGCATCATGTCATGTTTTCTATTGACTCTTCTCCAGACGGAGAGGGTGAGACAGGGGAAGAGGATGTTCGTTTGTCACTGAAGAGGAAGTCGCCTTCCATTGCACCTAATGTTTGGATTAGAGTTTGCAGCTCCAGTTGTGAGGAAGGAGGCGAGGGCAGAAGAAAGTGAAGGCCGAGAAGTACATGAGTGGAGAGAAGCAAGAAAGCCCATGCGCAGACCAAGGATGCTTTCGGACAGGGCTTTGGGCTCAGCACCTGCCACCCCTCCGCCCCCCGCCCCAGCTCCTGTGTCTTTAGGGCAGAAGCCACACCTGGCGAGGGGGGAGGGAGGCAGTATAGGCACCTGGACCCTCAGGCAGATTCAGCTGGGGCAGCAGTTTAGGCCAAGGACCCTCATGTCCCAAACAATCACATGAAACAATCAATGTGCTTGAATGCCAAGCTCGAGCAACATGAAGTCATGATATGGGGGCCACTCCATATGATGGGATCTGTAAATATATGCACTTGATCCTTGAACAGCATAGGTTTGAACTACACAGGTGCACTTACGTGCAGATTTTTTTCAATAAATACAGGACAGTACTGTATCTGTATTTTCTCTTCCTTGTGACTTTCTTAATAACATTTTCTTGTCTCTGGCTTACTTTATTGTAAGAATAGTGTATAATACATATAACATACAAAATAGACATTAATCGACTGTTTATGTTATCAGTAAGGCTTCTGGTCAACAGTAGGCTATTGGGAGTTAAATTCTGTGGATTTTTGACTGCACAGGGTGTCTGCACCCCAAACCCTCTCATTGTTCAAGGGTCAATTGTATATTATTAAATCCATTTGTGGAAAGGGTCCCCTGGGACATACAGAAGGGATGGAACAGCACCCTCAGCACCCCTAAGCAAGAGTATGACTCTGTATCCTCCTTCAAGTCATAAGCCACTTTATTCCAGTCCCTTGAACATCACAGACTGGCTTGATTTCAGACAGAACAGACTCCACTTCCAGAGGTCCCGCATCACAGCAATGACAATGAACAGCCCATCAAAGGAATGACCTAAACCTTTAGTCATTCAGCCTTCTGAGTGCTGCAGAGTCCCTTGGCCAAATTTAAGTGCATTGGATTAGACATACAAAGCCCTTCCTGGAAAGGAGTAGAAGGAAAAAACAACCATCAAGAAAATACAGACAGGGTCAATGGCAGGCCAGGACAAGACTATTTGCATACATCCCAGGCATGTCAGCATTCATTAGCCAGGCGTCTGGCTCTGTTTTCTCTCCTAAACATCTGGAGCCCCTCTTCCTTGCTCCTCACTCCAGCTCTCAGTTCTAGGGAACTGGGTGAGTCTGGCTCAACAAGATGTCCTGACCGAGGGTAGAGCTTAGGCGGGCTTGCCCAAACATTAACGACTCCCCTTCTAAGGGGAACTGAAAGGGGGAATTAGGTCATCAGTCCAGAGCAGTGGGATGTACCTCCTGAACATCACTCACTGTGCCCTCTGCCTCTTAGTTTAATTCCCTAGTTTTCAAACCCAGATCTTACCACTTGGCCCAAAGAAGGAATTTGGCAAGTCTCAGGATAGACCCACTGTGAGGAATGGACACTCAGAGGAAGATGAAGATGATTTTACCATGTGTAGGTCTCCTAATTTCATCCTGCAAAGTTAGTTCATTTTGGTCAACCATACAAATTCAGATTTTTGCTACCAGTTAAAAGGGACTCAAGTAATACAGAAGAATCTGGAGTTAGAATGGGCTCAGCATCATCTTCCTCATAGTTATGTTTGTCTTTCTGTGGGTCATGGTCTACAGAAAGTAGTTTGGCTGCAGATAAACCCACTCGGGACCTCTCTGCCTCCTCCCGGAGCAGATCCTCCCCATCTATGTCCTTGAGTGTTTGGACTTCCCCAGGCCTACTACTTGTGAAAATATGACTGACTTACTTGTGATCAGCAATTTTTACTCTTAACTTGCAATTCCAATTAGTGTGTGTGAGGTCACCAGACCAAAGAGTGACTAAAATTTGCACTGTCACTTTTGAAAACAGAAATTGGCATTCAAAGAACATGGTGATGCAAAATACTTTTGGATTCCCCACAGTGGGCCCTGGAAAGCACAGATGCCCTTGGCCATGCCTTCTTCACAATGAGCTCACTGCCCAATCTCGGACTCTTTGAAGGGCCACCAGGGGCATGAAAAGGTCAACATTGCAGATACAGCTCCCTAACCATAATGTGGATCAAACCAAAGGGAAGTCTCAAGAATTTGTATGTGTGTGCGTGTGTGTTTCGGGTCAACAGAATATTAATCTACTCAGAAAAACACCGTACCCCAATCTAATACCATCAAGCCGCTGGTGCTCCAATGGACATGTCCCACTTAAACCTGCCCTACTTCTGTTCTGCAGGCACTACCACTCTGGAAATGCATTCAAAATTAAGGTTGCGCCCTAGTCATGGTGACTTTGTACTTCTCTGGAATATATAAAATATACCTGTTGATTGGTGCATTTGTGCAAAGACAGATATGACTTTAAAACAAGACATAGACATTCATTATAGTTGGCTTACTTCACATTAAGCTACTAAAAACAGTCTTCTATAATAAGATTGTATTAGTGCTCACTAAACATGCATTTCATTTAAACAAGGCAAAACACTTAATTTGGTCTGCAATACCCAATATTTTATATACAGCACTCTTTTTTTTTTTTTAATCACAATAGGCAACAAGATGGGTCTGGTTTTGTTATATAAGTTACCATTTGTGTTTAATTTCCAAAGAAACTCAGCTTAGCTCAACTAGTGTAAACGTGTGAAGAAACAGCTGAGCCATCTTTTCCTCTTCTCTATGAATTTACCTTGAAATGTTCACAGCTTAGACACTACAGCCCGCTGGGGAAGAGGGGGGAGTGGAGGCCTCCAGGCGCTTTCACAGCCCGGCCCCACAGGGTCCCTTGTCCTTGGGAAGCCGGCACCAGGCGCCATCACCCTGGGGGCTGCCCGTGTGGCTCCAGACCCAGCTGGGGAGTTCTGTTTTTCAAACAGGCCCCTGGAAGCTGGCCACAGAATCCCGGGACTGGCTTGCTTTCCCTTCTCTTGCCTCCCCGAGTCTTCGGTTTGAGAACAGAGACATTGGAATCAGAAGAAAAACAACAGTAAGAACGATGGAAACTCAAGGAACAAGGAACATCACAAAGTCTGCATGACAGCGCGTCCATGCTCTCCACAAGCGCGTTGGGGCTCTGGGCATCCCCCGGACAAAGGAAGCCGAAGGCGTCACGGAGGAAGGTGCGTCTGACCGCACGGGGGCGGGGGGGGGACAGCGTCACCATCAATATTGATTGGCAAAAAAAAAAAAAAAATCTGTTAAAACGAAAAGGTGGAAAGGGGACGCAAGCAGCTCTACGATCCGTGGGGCGCGGGGCTCAGAACTGGCCCGCGCTGCTGGGGTCACACTGCAGGAGGCGCACTATGGACGGGTCGCTCTTGGCCCCTCGGATGAACTCCTCCAGGGACAGTTTTCCTAGAAAGCAAGAGGACAGGTGAGAGGGGGCTGGTGGCAGCTGCAGGGACGTGCGCTCGTCCCCCCGCACCCCCCCACCCCGTCCCCCCACCTCGCCCCAGGAGGGGGTGGGTGGTTCTCACTGGGTGTTTGTACAACAGATAGCTGGCCTTTGCCTTTTTAAGAGAGCAGGCTGCACTCCCGGCGCACCAAGGCCGTCACGGGGTTCCCGGTGTCCCCAGAGCCTTCTAGCCTCCTTGGGGTAGCCTTAGCTTTGCTGCAAGAGTCCCTCTCTCTCCCTGCATGTGAGCAGAGGGGCCCGCACAGATATCTGGGGGGAGGACAACATGGGAGGGGCTGCCCCTCCATGCAAAGTAAGGAGAAGAAAGGGGTGTGTGCACGAGGCAGAGGGGAGTCCTCGGGTCCCCGGGGTCAATCAGAACAGGCTGGAGGAGGGGGACATGACCCCCTGGGATCCCACTTTTATCCGTGTGTCCCTTTCCTTCCTGAGTAAGCTGGAATATGTATTTATTTCTCTTCTGGAAGGTCAGTCTGTCATATAGTTGGGGAGGGCAAAGCTTCTCCTCCCTTCCTGGTGCTTCCAGAAGGTCCCATCCTTGGGGGGGAGCAGCTGGGCCTGCTCTAGATAGAAGCTCCCAGAGAGGACTTGCCCCCTTGGCCCTCCAAGGATGTCCCTGCCCGCCGGGCTCCCTGCTGCTGTGGGGCTTGTCTGCAGGCCCTCGGGCTCTCACACTAGGTTCCTCCCTCCCACAAACTCCATCCTCGACCTCAGTGATTGCTCCCTTATTTCTCAACTGATTCCAAACCCAGACAGGAGGGGCGCCACCCACTGAAGCCCTCATCACCCACCACTGGGAGACATCAACAAATATGTCTTCCCCTTCACCACAACCCCCTCCCCCAGCACCGAGTTCTTATTTGACCAAATCTACTTTAGCTACAAGAAGGAGAAAGGTGGGCTTTTATCTATTTATTTTTAACACAGAGCAGGCCACGTCTAGGCTTTGTGTCCTGGCCATTTCTCGAGAGCTGTGGCCTGCTCGGGCAGTGGTTGAAATGGTGATGACTTCTTAGGTCTGAAAGGCTGGCTCCAGGGAGGGAGGGCGGATGGAAGTGGCCACTTGAACACTTGGGGGTCTCCCCAAGGTGAGCGCTGGGAACCTCGGCCTGCAGCAGCGGGGCAAGCCCTGCATTCTTCCTCGGTGGCTGGGTCTCTTGGGTCAGCTCCCCTGTGTGCGTCTGAGTAGACTCCAGGGCTGATTTGCCTGTGGGCCCACTTTTCAAGTCCACAGCCAGGGGCTAGAGGCAAAGGGCTTCCACCAAGAGGAATCTAATGGCGGGAGCCTCTCGGTGAGGTCTTTGCTCCAGGTCGGGGTACCGGACCCTGCCTGGGCTCCCAAAGCAAAGCACCGCAAGCACCAGGTCTCGGGGACTGTCTCCTCCGACCGCGCCCAGGCTTCGAGCCCCTCCCCCTCCCCGGTACAGCTCCCCCCCCGCCCCCCCTCCCTTTTCCCCATCGAGGAAAGCACAGGGCCTTCAGCAGCCGGATGTGCGGCAGGACTGCTAGCGATCGGGGCTCTGTGACGCCCTCGTAGCGAGCCCCTAACCCCTTGCCTGTGACCCGCGCCCCGTGAGGGTTTCGGCCGCTCACCCTGCAGCCCTCCTCTATGCAGGGGCGGGGCGGGGCGGGAGCAGGACGCAGAGCCACCTGTGCTCCCCTGGAGCGCCAGCAGACCTGCCGCTTTAGATCGGCAAGCTCAGGAACTATTAAACGACCCCAGGTGTTTAGTCTTCCGAAACAAGCTCTTCGCTCTGAACTACGGTGCATTAGGGGAGATGGGACGCAATAGCACATTTGCGCAGGAAGCAAACAGGTCGGCCTGCACCCCGGAAAGCCGGAGTCTGCGGCAGCCAGTGCCCCGGAGGGGCAGGGGGGTAGAAAGAGAGGCTCCCTGTGCTACCTACAAAGCCTCCCGTCGTTCTGTCCGCCGGTGCTACTGGGGGTAGAGGAAAGCATTTGCGCATCGCTGACAGGATTTGCCGCGGACCCGCGGCGGAACAGGGGAGCTGGTAATAACAGGAAGGGCTGCAGAAGACTGGGTTTCCTCCGCAGCAGGCTCAGAGCTCAGCACTTCAAATTCAGGTGTCACATCGAAATAGGACTGCCACATCGGGGACATAAAATACGGGATGCCCAGTTAACACTGAATTTCAAGTAAACGATAATTTTTTTTTCATATAAGTGTGTCCCAAATATTGCATAGGACACACTTCTCTAAAGAACACCATTTGTTCTTTATCCAAAATTCAAAGTCGTTTGGGCCTCCTATATTCCATCTGGCAACCCAACATGTAAAATCCGCTAATCTTGGGCGCCTAGGTGGCTCAGTTGGTTAAGTGACTGCCTTCGGCTCAGGTCATGATCCTGGAGTCCCGGGATCGAGTCCCGCATCGGACTCCCTGCTCGGCAGGGAGTCTGCTTCTCCCTCTGACCCTCTCTCCTCTCATGCTCTCTCTCACTCTGTCTCTCAAATAAATAAATAAAATCATTTAAAAAAAAATAAAATCCACTAATCTTGAGTTTGAAATCCAGCCTTCCTTTTCACTTTGGATTGTTTTGAATCCTCTTGTTGGGTTTGAATTGTTTTGAATCCTCTTGTTGAATTCCTCCGGGTGGAAAGTGCTGGCCACCTGGCTCCCCTCCTCCCCTGGCCCACACAGGCTGGGGAAGACCACGTGGCTCCAGGAAACCACGACACCTTAGGGCATGCGCAGAAGAGCCCAACCGCACCCCCTGGGCAGGCTGGGGTGACAGCCACCAGATCTGGGTGGACTTACACCAAGTCCCTCTCTGCTTTCTGATTAGCTGGCCTGCAGGTATCCAGCCTGCTGTGACCTAGGCCTGGCCCACCTGGGTCCCTCTCTGTCCTGCACTGCCAGCGAGCATATGAGATGAGCCCCTTTCACAAAGAGCTGTGAGCCAGGTCCTTGTGACTAATATCTTGTCCTTGAGTGGCATCTGCCTGCCCGGGTGGCCCCTGGCCATCCAGCAGTCCCCACTCTGAGCAAAGCCAAGTGCCACGGCCTCCTACCATCTCTGTTGGTGTCCATCTGGCGGAAGATCTTTTCTGTCCTTTTCTCCGGAGTTGACTCATCTTCAGGCATTTTCATTACAGAGGAAACCATCTTATAGATCGCCTAGGGACAGAAATGATGTGATAGTAAGACAGAAACAGAATAGCCTTATCAGTAAAGCTCCCAGAGCAGAGGGGCGAAGGGGGTGTCCCCCATGAACACAGGGAGCTAGTCCGATCCCTGCTGATGTGCTATAGAAAACCAGTGTGTAGGGACTAGCTCCAGCAGTGAGAAGCTGGCAGGAAGACGGGCTCACCCCTGTGTCTCAGACTGTCATACGCATACGAATTCCCTGGGGAGCTGGTGAAAATGCAGAATCTGATGGGGGCGGGTCATGGGGCCTGGGATTCTGCATTTCTAACAAGCTCCTGTGTAGAGCTGTGGTTGCTGCCCGGAGAACACCACTTCTAGTAGCAGGGCTGTGGATGACATCCCTCAGGCCAGAAACACGGGTCAGTGTCTCTATCTGGTCCCTCAAGGATAATAAACATCTGATGGTCTGCAAGTGTCTGCCCACGCCTTCTCCCAGGCAGACATCACTAATTCATCCTGATGCCCCCCTCACCTCCCATATGTGGCAGTCGCCTCACATGGCTTCCCAGCAAGCTCCCGGGCATCCCCAAGAAGGAAGTAATCTGCCATCCAAGCTTTGCATTAAATAATTATGCAACTCAAGGCTTGAGGTAAATTGGGTACATCTGAAATCTGATGAGCAACAACAGATGTTCTACTGAGTTTTGTAAGCGGTACTGAAACAGTCTCCCCCACCACCTTGGACCCCCTGTGCTACTCAGTAAAGGCCTGGAAGGCCTGTTGTCTAATGTAATTTCAATTTGGAAATAATGTAAAGTCATTGTTCTCATTCCCAGACCATCAGGTGTTTAATATCCTTGAGGGACCAGGTAGAGAACCAGCCCGTCTTTCATCAGATTTTGCTCATCGGATTCACTCTGGGACCTTTAATCCTGGGAAGGAGTTTTAGAAAAAGGAGATTTTGCCAGCAGGTGGGCAGAAAAAATCTGGAAAGTTCTGGAGCTCCAGATGCCATGGGATAGTCGGAAGGAGGGGTGAAAGGAAGACAGTTGAGGGAAGGTAGCCTCCAAATGGGAAATGTGGGAGGGAAAAAATGGATATTAAAGGCTCAACTTGGGCACCTGGGTGGCTCAGTTGGTTAAGCGACTGCCTTCGGCTCAGGTCATGATCCTGGAGTCCCTGGATCGAGTCCCGCATCGGGCTCCCAGCTCGGCAGGGAGCCTGCTTCTGCCTCTGACCCTCCCCCCTCTCATGTGCTCTCTCTCTCTCATTCTCTCTGTCTCAAATAAATAAATAAAATCTTTAAAAAAAAAAAAAAAGGCTCAACTTATTTGCTTTACAGTCTTATTTAGGATCAACCCTGCCTCAAGTCCCTAACATATTCTGGAGAAAGGGGGGTAAATATTCTTACCCCAGTCAGTAAAATAGGAATGAAAAACTGACTCACCCCGTGTTCTGAACCTTAGGGATCATAGGGATCCTTCAGGCCAGGCTCCCTGGGTCTGTCTGAAACCCACCCAAAGCCCTTGCTGAACTCCAGCGTGGCCTCCATAGTGATTCTGCCTGGGAGAAAGGTCAAGCTCAGGGTTACGGCCCTGTCCCGGATTACGGGTGTCACTGGGATAAGGCTGGTCCATAGTCCGCTTCCCCAGCAAACGTTCACGGAAGTATGCAGGCAGCGGGCAAGCCACGCTCTGTCTTCTTCCTGGTCCCCTCCAGCTCAGGTCTATGGGGCCGTCTGTGCTGGGTTTGGAGTGCCACATGCCACGCCTCTGGGAACACTGGGCTCCTGGAGGGAACCAGGAAAGCCCATCAGGATAGAGTTCTTTTTACAAATGGGAAAACAGGTGCTGAGATTTCCTGGGCCCGGTAAATCGTAATGGCAGCAGAGAGCAGGAGTCCTTCCAGAACAGGGGTATCTTGAGATCTAGCACCTTCTCCTCGGGTTTTTTTGCTCCCACACGGAAGCTCTCTGTGTAACTCGACCCAGTTAAAAGGGAATCGGTGGCACCAACTAATGAACACACACACACCTCACACGGATTTCAATCTTACACAATCTATTGCGTGAATTCATAAGCCAAGGAATCTTAGAACAAGAAGAACAAGAAGACAGTATTTGGAGATCAGCATCCCACTAGATCGCACAAGGACAACCTCTTTAAAGGTGCAAGAGCTGACACATTTCGGGGTTTGTAGAGGTGATATGGGAGAGGCATTTGCGGGTCAACGATGAGCTTACTTTTCGCCGGAAGTCTTACGAACGCTTCGTCATTGCACATCCTCAAACTTCTTCAGGGTGGACTCCTTCCCTGAGTCTGTTCTGCTCTCAGTAAGTTCATCTCACTTGGTAATTCCAGGTGCCACCTGTTGTGTATCTATCACTGACCAACGGGGGCAGCTCCCAACTCAGATGCTTCACAAAGGCTGTCAAGAGCCCCACAACCTGAGCATCACCCACCTTGGTTTCCTGGACCAGCAGCTTTATTTACACTCTTCTCTCATCTGAGTGCTCACCTACCCCTCTCCACTCTCCTTGGGATCCTACCCATTGGTTAAGGGCAAGTTGAAATGTTACCCCTCCTCCAGGAAGTCTTCCAGGGTCTTCCTTCCTTCTGCTATGTGTAATTTCCCTTCCAATGTGCTAGCAAATGGCTCTGTTCTAAACCTCTCTTGGATCATTTCATCCCATTCACTCCAATTGTAGTTACCCAGAACACTCTCCTCTTATACAGGAGGGTGGCAGTCCGATCTGGCTATTCATCGAACCCCTGACAGTTCCTAACACAGGGTCTTGCACAGACTTGGGCTCCCTAAGTTTGGAGGATTCCTTCAGGAATAACTAACCTCCCCCCCATCACCTTCTCTCAGGCTCTTCCTCCTCTCTCAACTTTCTTCTGTTCCATTTCTCATTATAAAGTTCCCCTTTATCCTTTGTTGCTTTTCTCACTTTCCCCTTCTCTTTTCTTTTTCTCCTTTCTTCATATAATTAAACATATTCGTTGAAACTCCTTAAAGATTCTGTTGGAAAGGAAAGGTTTCCTCTGCCCTTCAAAATCCTTCTAGATGGACAGGAGACAAACTAATGGAAGAAAATCAAATTTAATTTCATATGTACAGGGAATCCACAAAGACATGGAAGTTCCAAAGATAGGCAAAATGAGGCCTTTATGTCCTTCTGACTCAAGGAGAAGGGGTAGGGGTCTGGGAGTTCCAAGGGAAAGAGTGCAATTCACAGGAAGGTGAAAAAGAGGAAATGTTTGGTAAACAAATGTGTGCTGGGCCACTGGGAAACAATGGGACATGGAGGACTTGGATCAAACAGGCCTTGCCACGTTCTTCCCCATCTACTGTACCTCGTTCATACCCTAATGTCGTTCTCTGTGGTGACAGTTGTCTTCCTGGATCCTCTACCTAAATTCTTTTTAGGCAGTTGTGGGAGAGGTAAAGAGCTGTTCTTCAATCTGCTGGGTTTCAACGGCCTTTTAACTCAAAATAATCTTCATGCCAAAGTGGCCTGTCATGGGGCAGCCTGCCCTTGGCCCCCACAATTCATCGATCTGTCAAAAGCTATGGGCTCTCCCCTTAGGAACCGGGCACACATGCTCGTGGATCCGCACTCAGGGTCACGGACAGCTTCAGGAGCCCATCCACAGACCCCAGGTAAGGAAAGTCCCTGATCTCAGCTTATCCCCTCCCCATTGCTCGCGCATTCATCCCTTCCCTCAGTCATTCCCCAGCTATTTACCCACCGGCTATTCCGTGCCGGGCCCATCTGCCCCAGCCTTGCCCTCACGGGTTTACTGTCAAGGGAAAGGTAACAGGGGAGCCTTCCTTGCCATGAGGATTGGGGCAGGCCTCCCTGAGGAGTGAGGACAGTGAAGAGATGAAGGAAGCGGAGAGCTCCCAGAGGAAGAGGACAGAGGGAAAGATGTGCGTAGACACCGGGTACGAGGAATGGCAAGAAGGCGGAGAGTGTGACTGGGGGGGGACTGTACTACAAGATGTGGCTCTGGAGCAGGTCAGGACAGACCCCTGGGCCTCAAAGAGCACGGGAAGGTATCTGTAGTTCTCCACAAAAAGATAGAAGTGACAGGAAATTCGATGTCTACTCCCCAAACCCACCTCTACTCCCTTACTTACAGGCAGTGGTATTCAGAGAATTAAAAAACTGTCATTCATAATTTACTCATCAGTTATTTACTGAGTGTCTACTATGTTCTAGGTGGCATACAGTCAATTGTCAAAATGACCGATATGGTCTTTCTTATTGTATATCTTCCCAATCCTCTGGCAAAGGGCTTGGGAGACACTGTATTGGTGACCAAAAGCACCCCATTTCGTACAGTGATTTAGATGGGTACAGTGATTCCAGTGATGCCTTAATAACCCTTGTGGAAGCCTTCACCTCCTCCACCTCTGGCTCCCATGATGGCGAGGAACTCTCAGCCTCTAAGATTTGGGGCTCATGAAACTCTCCTTCTTGGAATTCTGACGGGAAGTCAACGGTGTGATAGTCCAGAGATTATTCCCTTAATACTCTTGGTTGAACAAATGAATGAAAGACCAGGCAAACAGATGAATTTGGGTTAGAAAATGAGGCCCCCACATTCAACAGAAGGTCTTTAAGAGATTTAGCCTTTAGCTCTTGGGCCAAAGAAGTGGAGTTGGGACAAATAAAGATGGGCTAATATAAAAATCAAAACCCTAACCAAAACAACAAAGAAAGTCAGAATGCCCTTATGTGAGGATATTTTCAAACAGGACTTCTGGAATGGGGCAAAGGCACAATGCCTGAGTGTATTGTAGGGTTGAGGAGGAAGTGAGGGCCCGCATTCCAGACAGCTCTTTCATAACTCTAGACTAGATTTTTTTTTAAATGTGCATCAACTCACAGACAGGGATTAGTGGATTATTCACAGCACCAGGTCTATGACATGTGTGACGCCAGAGCAGTGAGCAAAGAGCTGAGGTGACAAATCCCAATGGTCCCAAGATGAGTAAGTAGATGGCAGCCTGGCAAAACCACA